CATACTAGAGAACCACAAACTAATACGATGCTTACGCATTAGAGAACACAGAAATACATAAGAGTATCACGGGCCACCGGCTGACCGTGTTGCTCTGTGTAGAATTACAATATACCTCTCGGTAGAGAATAATTGTGTTCTGTGCAATATACTTACTTTGTCAGACGTATATTAATCATACTATCCTTCTAGCTTCTAGTATATTGAATATCTGTGCTAGAAAATCAAAAGTATACATAAAAATTTCTTGGGGTTAGATTAGATAATATAACCAAAAATAGCATGGCTTCACGGATTTATAATAGTTTCATGTATTAGATTTGATTTTGATGACTTGAATTATCATACTTATTGAAATAAAAAAAAAAGAATCAAATCCGCAGAAATTAGTTTTAATTAATACTAGTGATCCGCCACGGCTTCCAAGGGTGAATTCTGGATGTCAAAAACATCGCCACCTACCGGGTCCAATTGTAAATGTAGTCGGTCGAGCCGTTTTTGAGTATTAGCGAGACTAAGACAGCAATTGACTTTTATATATAAAGATTACTTGTAAGTTATCAAACAAAGTGCTTGTAAGAAATACAGTCATAGGGACAAAATAAAACTAGGCATTTCGCATGTCTCGGTTGCCACATGTATATAATAGTAATATTTGAAACTAGCTGTTCCCCGCGACTTCGACCGCGTGTAATTTAGGGTTTTAATTTTTTTTTTTGCGCGGAACCCTAATTCTATTTCTAAAATAAAAGTAGCCTAAGTTGTTCCTTATAACATCAGCTACCTGTCAGTGAAAGTCCCGTCAAAATCGGTCCAGCCATTTCAGAGATTAGCCGGAACAAACAGACAGACAGACAAAAATTTTAGAAATTGTGTTTTGTTTTAAGTCCCGTTTACTTTCATATGCATTTAATAAAAAGCTGTTATTTTGACATTACAAACAGACACTTCATTTTTATTTATTTCTATAGATGAGTCGGAAGTAAAAAAATGATATATGCATTTTAAACAAAGAAAAGGAGGATCTAAGAATAAGACTCTTTGGTACTTTCAAAGCTTAATTATGTTATTTATTTATTTTTTATTGTAACACCATATAGTCTGAGAGCTGGTCATGAATTTTGGGAAGGTCCTTTGGGCAAGTTGAAATTGTGAAAAAATATAATTTTGTCAATTCTTCGTTGAGTCTTGCAGAGCGTTCGACTTGATTTCTTTTTTATCTTTTAATTTGGTTTTTATATAACTCCAAAAAAAAATAATCCCAGACGTTTATGTCGGTTACAAAGATTACCAGGAAATTACCAGAAAATTAAAAGAAATTACCAAACCATCTCCAAAATATTTTTTTAAAATCCCAAAAAATATACTTTTGGCAATCTCGAATTTTAATCACGTATTTATTGAGTAATTTTTAATAATACCTGCAAATTGCTAGACGAATTTAGCGGTTTCAAACAATTCCCAGACGGGAATAAAGTTTAAAATGAATACGAAAAAAAGTCTTATGCGTAGCCTTTAGTAAACTATTAAGTAATCTGTGCCATAAGTGCGAGAAAGATAGCTTATCGAACCAATGGGGGCCTAAGCTCCTCGCGCTGTGATTGGTTACTAAGAAATCTTTAAAAAAGAATCTTTTTTAAAGATTTTAAGATACAATTCTTGTTTTGGGATTTAACATGTATGCATGTGCATATATGACCATGTAAATTCTGTGTATATAGTTTGAATTATTTTAGATCTGTGCTGTAATAATTTGTATAATAGCTATTCATTTTATCCTTATATTAATAGTAACCTTGGCAATAATATGTTTTGATAATTACCACCCCATGTTCTTAAAAAGGTACATTATGTATAAAGTGCTTACTGCCCAGAGATGAAGGTGGAAAAATAATAAGTTACACATTCTCTAAAATCGTATTTTGAATTAAACGAAGATGCCTGACAAATGCTAATGTCACTTTGTGAAATAATGTTGCCAGGTTCATTGTAATAGTGATGCGTTCAGTCAGTCAGTTAGTATACGATGACTTGGTGATTATGCCTAAAAGTAAATTAACCTATCATGATTGACATTGTGAAACTTGTTGACGAATATTATATCATTGAAATAAACAGAAAATATATTGTTAGTGAGAATCCGTGGCGCAATGGCTTAGCAATGAGTTGCTGCGCTGGGGCCCGCGGCTTCGAATCCCGCACGGAACAAGTATTTGTATGACCTATAAATAATTGTTCCGAGTCTGGATGTTTGTCCTTGTGCAATTTGTGTTTGTAAACTGCCTCCACGATACAGGAGAAAATCCTAGGGTGGGGGTAACGTTTAAAAAAAAGAATAATAATTTAATACTATTGTGACTCGAGGGGGCGCTCTGACTTTCGGAACGCACCCTGCGCCCGCCGAGTCGGTCACTATTTTTAGTGTCATTTGTCTTGTCATTCATTCGGCTTCTAACCTCTGGTCTGATCGCTCGAATATTTTCTCTGCGCGCTGTTCTCCTGTTGCTTTTCTTTAGTTTCTTGTTAGTTTTTTGTTACATTGTGTTTGTGTTGTTTGTTATTGCTGAGTTATTGTGTTTTATATTGTTTCGTACAAACGATATGGAACCTCAACCAAGCACGGCGAGCAAAAGCTCTTAAAAAAAAAGTATTATTTTTTTACATCTTTGTGCACGGCGCTATGTGTGCGTAAAGCTTGTTATAAATAGAGTGTGCGTGACTACGACTGTCACGTCACTATCACAGAAATCAAAGCTGCATATTTACACGCTCACGCACACGTAGTGTTTTTTTGAGGTTCTATTTGAATTTTTTCTATTGCGTAGACTTTCTTACCCATAATCTGTTTAAATTACAGATTCTTAAGGTTGTTAATGATGACCCAGATTTACCGAACTTCTCTTGGAGTACCTTGAGGAAAATTTTAAAACACTTAAATTTCAAATACGCCACAAAATCAAGAAAAAGCGTGCTAATAGACAGACGCGATATTGTTTTGTGGCGCCAGCGATACCTTCAAAATACTAAAGATTATCGCAGGGAAGGAAGTTACATTTATTACCAAGATGAAACCTGGATCAACGAAGGTAATTAAATTTTTCTCTATTTTATTTATCTATTACAGTGCAGGTATTGCATGCCACCGGTGAATTTAATGAGAAATTGGCATTTTTCATTTTCTCGAAGGTCATACACCGAAGAAGCAATGGATTGACCAGACTGTACAATAGTCCCGGCAGGCATTCTTAGAAGGGTTGACCACCGGCTTGAAAGGGCCTTCGGGAAAAGGCAAATGGCTAATTATTGGCCATATAGGCGGGGAAGAAGGATTTGTAGAAGATAGCTAGATATAGAGATATAGAGATTTGTAGATAGATCAAGAGATGAATGCTGAGTATTTTGACGAGTGGTTTAATGAGGTTATGCCCAAACTAAAACCTAATTCCGTAGTGGTGATGGACAATGCCCTATCACTCCAGAAAGATAGAATCGCTGCCTATAATGTCTTGGAATAAACCAAGAATACAAGAGTGGCAAGCTAAAATATTAAATACCATTCAAATCAATCAAATACCATTTGAGGTACAAATGGTAAAAGCTACTCTTATAGACATTGTACGGCAGCACAAACATGAAAACTGCAACAAGAATGCCGTGGACGAGATGGTAGCGGAGCGTGGAGTCATTATTTTACGTTTGCCCCCTTACCATTGTGAGCTCAATCCCATTGAGCTGATTTGGGTGCAGGCCAAAGGGTTTCTTGCAAGAAACAACAAGACCTTCAAAATGAAAGATGTAAATAACTTTTCGAAGAAGGATAAATGAAGTGACTGCCGAAAAATGGAGTAGCTGCGTGGTTCACATAATAAAAGAAGAAGACAAAATGTTTAATATGGACCACAAGAGCGATAGTGTCTCAGACAAGTTTATAACAAATGTTACTGACAGTGACAGTCACAGTGATGATATTATGTCTGATGACGATGAATAAAAAAATGTAATACTTAAGCATAGTTTTTTTTAACGAAATCCATATGACAACGTACACTATGAATAATTTTCGCCTGATGAACTGACAACATGTACATGGATATACCTTTAATAAATCTTGACATAATTTTTAAAAGCTTCAGTTAAAAAAATATTTTTGTTACCATTCAGTCGTTTTCTTTGTTAGTCAGTCATTTTGTTTTCCGTTCAGCCATTTAGTCACAATACTATTTTTGATTCATCAAAACCTGACAACCCAGTAAACGTCAGGCAGATTCGTTTAATTAAAAATACGACTATATAGCCGTAACTTTTTTCACAGTGATGTGGTACAGATATAGATGAATTTTGATTTACCTAAATGTAGTTTTATCACTCCCCGTATCGAGTACCCACGGGTACTCGATATGGGGAGCAGATATTCTTACACCCCCACCAAACGGTTTTAATATGTTTAAGCTAAATTCATATTATTTTTTTCTTCTTCTTATTATTATTTTATAGTTATTTTCTTTATTTACATAGTATTAACATAAACAAACATTCTCGCTAATGCGTAATACCTAGATGGGTAGGCGAAGATTAAGGTCTTTCATTTGGCGCGATATACTATAGATTGTTTCTAATTTAAGAACGAATGTCTGTGTTTCTCATGTTTTTTGTTTAGTTAAATAAATATATAACTTACTTCTTCCTTTCCATGTAATGAAATTTTCATTACATGGAAAGGAATTCATAATATATATACATATAATTCATATATAACCATATAAGGCGTCCGGAACATTTATTTCTCCAAGGGATACATGTCTAATAGAATCGTAATCCCATTAGTACAAAATGAGCTTTCATTTTGTACTGGAAAGTACGTTAACGTTCACGTTACGTTACGTTAAGGTTTCACGATAACGCTTGGCAGGCGATTCCAATAAAGTTATCTATAAAATCATGCAACTACCGTTGCGTAAATAAAGGTTTTCTCAAAAGATTAATAAAAAACCCAAAAGTTTAAACAGCTTAAGTATTATATTTTGGGATACATATTTACAAAAGTCTTCTTAAAGTTTTACCAGATACATTACTTTAATGATTTGAAATTTACAAGTTTTATATAAAATAGAGATGTATTTATATACTTGTTATTTTCTTGTTTATGTACAGTGTTTATTTCAGGAAATTTATAAATACGCAACATATGTAAATATCGCGCTCATTTGAATCTTCTACTAATTGTTTTAAGACGAGTTTTAAACATTGTAAAAGATGAACCTTGCTGTACTTAGTTAATAGTATTTGAAAAATTATAAAATTTACTACCTATTTAAATATCGATCTACTTATCTACAAATAAAGTGAGCTACTTATTAGGCACGATTCCGACAGTCAGTGGAGCGCGATGAGGCGCAGGCGGGCGCCTTGATGGGCGATGGTGTAGTTACACCAGTCATAGATACCACCGCCTCCATACCCGCACTTTGACTAGAGATTATCTGCATAGCAGATGGCGTGGGCCAGGACTGTTCCTTCGGGCCAAAATTTGATGATGACATTTCTGTTCTAGATTCGTCTTCCTTGTTTAAATCCTTAATCGATTGTTTTTTAAGTTTTGCAAATTTAACACTGTCTTGGGTTACTAGAACGGCAAGCGGAGGGATTGGAGGTAAATATGCATGAGGTTCATAATTGTCATCCACATAATCTTCAGGATTCCAGGCAGCTGTTGTAGTTGTTGTAGGTGGAGTAGACGAAATCGTAGTTGTTGTTGCTCTTGAAGTAACTGGAGAAAGTGTTGGTTTTAAACTAGTTTTAGAAATTAAATTAGTTGGCACAGTCGCAGTTGCGGGTATTGTAAATATTTTTCTATGCTTGTTGGATCTTGTTTTCCGTCTTTTATCTAATTTTGGTACATCAAGAAAGAAGGGGTCGAAAATAAGATCTGATTCTTTATAGTCATCGTAGTTTATTGCTACTATCGGTTTTACCGCACTGACTACGTTACCGACTGTATAGTTCAATTTTTTGCCATTGCTATCGCTAACTGAAGCACTGGCGGTAACTATAACTCGTGGAGGACTTTTCAGTTTGGTAGGGGGTCGTTCTGTTACGGTGGGTGGTGCTACAGATCGAGCAATGGGCGGTGTTTCTTTTTCAGATGTAAATTCGTCGCTTCGTTTTCGATCGTAATAAAATGGATTAAATGGTAGAGCATGTTGAGGAGGTAACGCTGAAGGATAAGTTTGTGGACGATGTTTCACGGAAGTTTCATGCCTCTCAGAAGGCTGAGACGAAGGTCCCGGGCGCATAATTTGGTCTCGTGGGTCAAGAGTAGTGGCACGGAATGGTTGTGGTTTTTGTACAAATGGAGTTGGACGAGATATTGGTCGCGGCGCAGTTCTTGACGATTCATACTGAAAGTGATCAAATTGTTGTGGTGGTGCATGCGTGATAAAAACTCCATCGGCAGGACGAAAACTTTGTCGTTGGAAAGAGATGGCCTCAGATCCGGGTCCACGATGTCTATAAATAAATTCTTGAGGCGATAATAGGGATGGATCAATAGTAGTTAAAGGGAGAGCGGGTAGAGGAGAAGAGGTATGTGTATTGGGGGCAAGTGAAGATATTGTGGGTGAAGAGGATGTTAACTGGGAAGAAGGAGATGGACGGGTGGTTGAAGTTGTCGTCAAAGCGCTGGTAGAGGTTGGTTTCTTGGTTGTAGTTGACGTTGTTGTAATTAAAGATTGAATAGTTGATGTTTTTAACGGTTGCGAATAATCTTCTTCGTATTCATCCTCATACTGATATTCTGTAAAACCATTGAAAGGAAATATTTATATACTTGTTAGTTTTCTATCAGATACAACAAAGAGAATTAACAATTTAAAATATTAAAATTACCATCATGAAAACCTCCAACTTGTCCTATGGGTATTGGCTGTGGCGACGGACTTTGAGAAATTTTAGATTCATCTTTCTTTATTTCTTGTATTGGGTCCTCTGTTGAATCGAATGCATCCGGAGATAGACTTTGTAACTTAACATTTGATGTCGTGGGTGTATCAAATACAGAAGGATCTGATAAGATCTCTGTACTGGTTTTCGTAGTTTGTTGTGATTGTTCAGTACTTTGAGGTTTAGTGGTCATTTTGTCAGGCTCTATAATGGGGGGTGTCGTGCTGCCATACAATTCTAAATTTAGGCTGTAAAATTTCTCAGATTTCGTGCAATCAACTTCGTCTACCCTTTCACACACTCTTGTCTCCTAAAAAAGTAAAAAGTAGTTTTGAATTAAAATTATATCATATTTTATTTAATGGCAAAATTAAAAGTTAATGTTAATATACCATTTTAAAGATTACCCTGTCCGATTCGTTCGTTCTGTCCAATTTGTGTCCAAATTTAACATCATGTTATTTATCAATAACATGATGTTGAATTTTTTTGGTAATGTCATTAATAATACTTATGTACTCTTTTCGGATAGGACAGGATTTTCTTTAAATATAAATACCTGATCAAAAACAGTGCCGTTAAGACATAGGAACTTGATGTCCATAGGTTCATCTTGCTGACCGACCGTACACACGTGGAACATTTGGCATGATGTTTCCAAGTCAGCGTAATATCCTCCGATTACTTTGCCAGCACAAGTGAAGTTTGTTTCTGGCAAATTGTCGAAGTCCAAGTACTGAAAATTTGAAACAAAGGAAAGGAGATATAAACCTGAGGCATAAGAATAACAAATATTAGTATAGAAAGTTTCCTTTAAAACCACACCATAAACTTTTACTCATAACCTCTTCAGGTCGTCTCAATGCACACTAAAGCTGCTAGAGTTATTATTTAAAATGTTAATGTTATATTTGTGTAAGTGCCTAATTATACCATGTAGTGGCGGTGTAAAAATATCCATTAACTCATATAATCCCGTGGGTGTCGTAAGAGGCAATGGAGGGAAATAAACCAGGAGACTGGTACCCGCGTCTTCCCAATAACACTTAAAAATAAAAAAATACGGACGCTAGCCCTCCCGCTAAGATTAGCAACTATGGCAAATAAGTATTTATGGGAAATCTTAAAAACCATAGATAAGATTATATGCCTGTGTTCAACAGTAGACTTTTGAGGGGCTGTGACAGTAACGGTACCCGTACACATCATGAATAAATCGAATACACCTAAGTTTAACAAATCGCAATCGTCTGCACCTAGTTGTAATCGATTAAGCCTAGAAGTAAACACTCTTCGTCTTTTAGCCGTAACATAAATATAAGATAAATAAAGAGCTAGTCTACTAGAATAGGGTTCCTTTAGCTTTAGATAGTGGGGCCTATAATAAGTTATGGAATGTCCACAAACTTGACGACGATGATTTCTTGCTTTACAATTTAAATAAATAAAAAATGTAATTGATTTAATTTAGGACTTTTGTCCATAATATCGTTAGTAGCATAAAAAAGAGATCTTAAAAACTATGTTAGTAACATTTCTTCCTTACAGCCTTTCATAAGTCCACTGATGAACATAAGCCTCTCCCAAGGAATGCCACAAAGAATATATAATAGTAACATTTCTTGGAAAATATTAATTCTAGTTTAAATATCTGCCTGTACTGCGCGACACCTCTGCAACATGTCTGTGAGCATACAACCAGCAGTATCGGCCAGTCAGGCTTGTACCTGATAACACCTGAGGAGGGATGCGATTCGCTTGCGCACTACGGTGTGAAACCCAATTTAAAAATATTCTTAGAAATAAGTACCTACCTACTTAATTTATTAATAACCCCAAAACCTAAAAACTGGAAGTTAGGAGCAACGTTACTAGAGCGAGGGTATCGGTGCTATGGTCACCAATTCACCTGCCTTTTACTTAACTTAACTTTAAATATGGCCATAATTAAAATGCGTACTCTGGAGTCACATAATACTATTACGCTGGGCCATAGATCAACACGGACCACCGGCAGGCCGCAGGGAAGTAGCCATACGCAGACGTTCCCCTCTGTCAAAGTATAAATTCAAGCGGTTCTATAAAAATAGTTTAACCGAACTGCTCACTAGATTAAATCTACTTGTGCGGCTAAATCGACACCCTACGGAATTGTCAAATTGTTCAGATTTTTCTGTAAAAAGGCGTTATCTTTCATATATGTATAAGTAATTTTTAATCATTATTGCTATTTATCTCTTTTTAAACTTAAAAACTACAATAATACCGGTCGTGTTGTTTTGGATTTGTTTAACAACACACGCCTCCGTACAACACGCATACAACATGCAGATCGGTCGAGCGACTGATCCAAATCTGTATCAGAGTTGTAGCTGTCACCGGGTGATAGTGTTATAATATATCTATGGGTGTGTGAAATTATTAGTGTGTGCGTTTCGTAGTGACAGACGATTGTTTTTGTGTGCGCAGATCCCCCTCCCAACCCGCCCGCAAAAAATTACAGACAGTTCTGTATCGGGATAAAACGCTATGGCTACTCTATTCCAATCCACCTGTGGTCCGTGTTGCTCTATGGTCCTAGCAGATTGACTCACAGAATATGAAGGTGACAGATCATTTCGAAACTCCTTTTAGGTGTTGGTAGGTATATGTATATTAAATTTGTACCAAAAGAAGAACTGTATATTATAGTAAAAAAAGAACTTACGCCTGGTTGAATGGACCTTGATATTCTAAATTCATTCTGGAATACAAAGATCAGCAACCATAGCCATACTGAAATTGAAAATAAATTTATGATAAGTATTATGCGTAAAGTAGTAGTATAAGGCATTAGTTCTATTATAATCTCTAGAAGATTTAAAGATATTATAATTTTAAGAAGTAGATTTGACTACTGTCTTTAGGAGAGCTTTATGTAGTAAAAATAATTCCTTTAATAACCAGTCAAAATTAACATTCAAGCTATTTGACTATCTTTTTTTGTTTTATAGATAGAGTAAAATATCAATTTTGTATGGTGGCTTAGAAAGGTAACTTACGATAAATAACAGAACTTAAGGCCTTAACAGTGGTTGAAATGCCTAAATCTAGGATATTTAAGTAAAAAAATCTCAATAACTGTTCATTTAATCCACAAAGAAAAAATACAGGGTAACAGAAGAAGATTTGGTAAATGTTTTTAATTTAACAAAATTGTATTTTTGTCAACCCCTTATTAGAAAAAAAATCCCCAAAGAGTACCTATCTTTGTCATATTTTGCAAAATTTCTCCAAAACGGCACAAGCTTTTTAAATAGTACTTACACCAAAAAATGGTCTTAAAAATATTAATATTTTTAATTGAGAGTTTTATTTTTATTACCCGTTTTATAAGAGAATATATCATTTTTCCCTGAAATTGAATATATTTACGCGAGCGCGCATGCTCCGTCGCCATGTAAGCTCTGTCACAGTCCGTTTTCGGACATCGTCGAGGGTGGACCGCACGTCGGTGTTGGAGCGACTTCGTTCAAATATATATTAGTTTTTTAAAAGTTTATACTCAATTATATATATTTTTATGACTAGAAATACTTAATTTAGTTAATATCTGTACAGTGGTAACTGTAAATATTATGTTCTAAATAAATGAATTTTTAAAGTGCCCAAAGAAGAAGAAATTTTTGCGGCGACGTTGATTAGTGAAATTGAAAAATGCATTTTTATATAATTTAGATGTGGAACGACGAACATGCTCTCGTTACTTAGATTTCGATCGTATTTAATACCTATGTAATTTTATTGTCGCATATTTTTATTAATTAGTTGATAATGAATTTTATAATTATTTATTACAATAAAACGCTGTTTTTATAAGTATGACTTTATAAAATATTATTGGGGAGAGAAATAAAGATACAGATACTTACATTTAGGTACACTGTTATCAAATTAAATCAAACAATTTAAATAAATAAAAGAATTTTGCTTACCTAAGTATAAATAACTATATAAAGACATTCTTGGGTTTATGGTTTTTTCTATGTTAGACAAACTATCATCTAAAAATTGTAAAAATTTTAAATTGGAGAGGGGTTTCTCTACATGATAAAGTTAGAAATGACGGTATTTGCATTAGAATCACAGTAACTGACATAGCTCAACGGAATATTACAGTGAAATGGCAAAGAGCTAGCTATATAACTTGGAAAATATATAAAAAATAGGAAGAAAGGTCCTCGAGTGGCAACCTCGTACAGGTAAGCGAATTAGTACTCAACCTTTATTCCTCTTCACGTATTCTCATACACTTTTCTTCACGCATACACACACACACACACACACACGCACACGCGCGCATGCACGCACGCGCGCACACACACACATACACACACACACACAAATAGGTCGCAAATAATACTTATCTACTACTATTAGGCAAGAGTGAATAGGTTTTTGTTAAGTCAGTGCAATTCACCATCTTAGACTACATAACCACTTACCGATGGGATTGTAGTTGCTTTACTACTTGCTGGGTAAAAATAGTAAAAAAAAAATTGACCCTGTGAAAGTTTGCATTTAGATATAATTTTTCTAACCAACCATAAAAATATGATGATAATATGTATATAAGTATAAAGGTTGCCTCACACGGAACAGTAATAATATAATATTATATCTTCCATTATCTCTGAAATCCGAGGTACGTTCATATTAAGACGCTAAATAGAGCCACATTGAAATGCATGGGGATCGTTTTGTAATTTCACGTCATTATCGAAAAAAAATTGTACGTATGTTAGGTGGCGGTTTGCAAAACACGATTCCACAATAATTAACTCAATAGAAAATAATTGCAAAGTTGCTTCTAAAAATACTTCAATTTTCAACGTCAATTTTTTTTTACGTGGTAGAGCCATGCTACAGCTATATTTATTAGGTATAGTTGTAGCACGAATGGGTCGGCTCGACCGGGGAAGGGCCACGCTCTCACGGAATAACATGGAAAATAGCAGTTTAACCCTGCTGTGTTTCGTATGGTGAGTGTAGAGAACCGGAGAACCTTTTTACTGGAAACGAGGCATTACATCTTAGTCCTCACGGGTGACAACGCATCTACATTTTGATACGTAATCGAGAATAGATGTAGATGTGTATGGGCCGTAGCAACCACTTACCATCAGGTGGACTGTGTGCTCGTTTGTCACCCTTATTCTATTTTAAAAAAAACTTTCTGAGATTTCAGTAAAATAATGTTAAGCACTCGTACAATTATGTCTCATGTTAATAAAGCTATTGGGCTATTTTGATTTGTAATAAAGTGATTTTACTTTATAGGTTAAATAATTTATTTACCTTTCTATATCAAGAACCGCTTTTCTGTCACTCCTATTGAATTTGACAGTGCTTGCTGAAATTAAGCATCTTTAGATGGATCAGAATCGCCCGCTGATCCGGCTGTTAGATATTGCAAAAATAATCGAAATTATTTATTTTTACTTTCATGCCGAAGACTACCTTGTTTTATTTTATTACGGTCAAATAATATTTATTAGGTTACAAAGCAAGTATTTTTGTAAATGTTTTGTATGTAAATGTTTTCATTATTTTGTTATTCTATTGTTTACAGTTATTATCACGTCTTAGCTTTACACCAAGAATTACATTAGAAATTCTTGATGGGATGCGATGTAACGCGCATACATTATTTTCATCAAGAACTATAATATATATATATATATATATATATATATATATATATATAATAAAAAAATGCTAATAATTATATAATTTCACGTCAGTATTTTACATTTAAAGATCAGTTATATTCGAGACTAAAATAAATGTGAAAGGGATTTTATCTGCAATAATAATTTTCATCAAAAATAACATAGACTTATAAAAGTCATATACACGGTCAATCATACTGAAGATTATCAATTGTACTACAAAATATTTATAAGACTATTTCCAGTATAATGACCCGAATATCATCATTAATGTTTGACTGGCACACTTAAAAGTTTTATCACATGGCTAAATGATTGACTTTTATATTATGATAAGGTCATGCTTTTCTATAAAAAATTGTAAGAAATTTTAATTCCCGGCCCTATTGGTTTGTTTTACTTTTTATTTAATTAGTGAAAAACAAAATGGACTGATCTAAAAGTTTACTTTCTTGTGTAAAAAGTGCTATTTAGAATTTTATGCAAATGGTAATTAAAGTTTCTATGTAAATAAGTGTAACATAGCGGGTATTATATTCAATGGTAGCGGCCATGCGTATTGGCAAAGCCAGCATCGTTTTCTGTACAGAAACCGGCAAAGTGTTGCTCAAGGCACTATAAACAAAGCAGCTGATAAAATGTTACACTCATAACTGTTAACAAAAACTGTTTTCGCAAATGGTCTTATAGATAATAATAACTATTCCGCCGTGTTAGGTGCAGGAGCTATTATAAGAAGGAGAAGAGGTAAAATTTTGTTTTAGAAATGCGCAATCAATATTGTTTTATCTGCAATTGAGCATAAAATAAAAAATAACTTCAGCCAAAGAGCATAACTGGCATTATAATATCAGGCCCATCAATTGGTATGGAAAAAAATAATTATACCAGGTCTCAAAAAATCAATCACAATTCAAAAAACATAAATATTAAAATCAAAAAATGTATATATTTATGTCTATACATACATATAATGATTTATGGCCGCTTAGTAACTGACGGTGACTCACTATAACATCCTACAGTCACGCCGAAACTAAGAGGAGAGAATCACTGTAGAAAAGGTAATAATTTATTGCGGAAATTTTGTGATAAAATTAAAAAAAATATAAACTTGTCCAAGTTAATCTAACTTAGTCTAACTTATCCTTATGCGTACAAAAAAAAACAAATAATAAAATAGTGAGATGGCGTCAGTTTTTAAGAAGATATAACAAAAATAAACAAAAAAAATAAATTTCAATAAAGTTCAGTGTTTAATTGTTTATATACCGCTGACACTTAATCACGCTTTTCGAAACCACGACAGTTGTAAACAATACTTGTGTGAAAACACAAAATTTCTTTTAAAATTTCCGCCGAGTTGTAAGTAGAAGGCCAAATAGGTCACGTGTCAATTTTAATTAAATATATTTTATATGAAGTGATCTGGACTAAGTTTCATCAATTAACCATTGGTAAAAATTAAAACAGGAATTTTACGATTGTGTTTACAAAAAACATTATTAGTTGAACCTTGCAGCTTGTTCATTATTTTTATTATAAATACCTATGAATGTATATATTATTAATAAATAGTTCCCATAATATATTAGATTATTTTTTATTTTGCCCTATCTGCAATGTTCTACGCTCTATAGAAAATGTGGCGTATGACATGACTGACAATCTTTCGAACGTTTTATCTAGGTACAAAGATGTTTTACGTTTTCATCGCCTCCACATGATATTTTTGTCAGCATAAGGTACCCTTCTATATCTGAAACGAATATAAATATTGCTACAAAGTAAAATAATAGGCTATACAAGTCCCTCTACTAGGCACAGGACTCTTTTTTATTTCTGAGTGGGTTTTAGGGCAAGGAAATGCCCGCCGTGCTTCCCCAATGCGTGTTGACGAAAATTGCAATTACAAATTTCATTCGTGCTGTCGGGGATCAAACCCGGGAAAATATTTACAGCGAACGCTTTGACCCAGATCTACTAATACGATACAAATAAATACGATTTAACATATATAATAAAAATTCTTACGTACTTGAAACTTGAACACTTGATAGCTCGTGATGCCTACCGGACAAAGCTACAGCACCACACCGTGCAATGTAATTGAAGATGCGTAACCGCGACATAATTCTCAGTGATGCGCAAGCATAACAGGCAGTATGTCACTTATATAATTGTCATCTCTACAGTCTATTAATCTTTGCACTTTTATAAGTAATACAGAACGTAGTTGCTAGACGGTTTTGACATCGGCTAAAATCTCTGCGATCGCCGTTTCGTCAAGGTCATTCAGGCTAGTTAAAGCCTTAAAAAAATAACTTTAATATTCCGACTGGTGTTAGTAACTAATTTGCTATGGACTCACTCTGTGATTGTCAGTCTGTTGTCATGAATTTATAAAAAATGTCACTAGGTCGTGTAGTAAGTAATAAGTGGACATTTAAAGTTGTTCGAAAATTGGAAATAAAAGATTTTAAATATACTTTTTTACCTTGCAGAGCAGAAGCAGAACGCACAACAAGCGCGTCTCCAACTGAGACCCGTGCCTGCCGCCGCATCTGAAATAGAGAATGTTATGTTGATAAAAATTGATTTAGTTTATATAGTAGAGTTTAAAAGTGTGCTTGGTCATGAATTTTCAATAACAGCATTTTTTAGTATAAAAGATGTGTCAAAAGAAAGTTTATAGTTGATGCATCAATATAAATGAAAGTTTTTCGATAAGACCTTTAAACGGAAATTTTCATTTGACTTTTAAACGGAATTGCAGTACTTGCAGTGCCGTGTCCTGGTTAGAAGGGCATAGAGAGCTAGCATAATTATATTCCATCGCGGTCCTCAGTGGTGACAACGCACCTGTAGTTTTCTTTGTTTGAAGTTGGCTATATGTGTCCATGGATTGCAGAAATGACTTATCATCAGGTGGATTGTAATGCCGCTTGTCGTTTCATTATAATAAAAAATACATTTTGGGAATTTACTTCTTGAAAATAATGTTATTCTAAATGTAAATCATTCTCTTAAAAACTACTTCAGATCAGTCGGATTATTGATGTACACAGTGATTGTTTAGAGTTGACATATTCCCATAAGAAAAAATACGTTTTCAAATCAGGATAGCGTGATGACCAATTTGCGCAAGAAAAATTACGAACTCAAGGTAGCGACGTATAGGCATGGCTTGTGACGCTTCTCCGCCTTGAAACTGCAGAAACTTTGCTTTTTGAACCAAGCACAAAGCATGTTAGTCCTCAGAGGTTACAACCCAGGTGTCCATGGGCTCCAGTAGCTACTTACCATCAGATGCACTGTCAGTTCGCTTATCACTTTAATTTCATAAAAACTGTCTACTTCTTCACATGTCCGTTAAGGTTAAAATGAAGAAAATGAGCCTTATACGAAACAAGATGTCGCTGAAAATGTTGAACAGCTTAACAGTTTCTTGAGTGAAATAGCTTAACAGTCAAAAGAATTACTTAGTTAACGAATTGAAGTTTATGACTGGAATCCTTGAGCTTTGATTCTTGCATTAATTGGATTTTGTAGTGATGATCTTTGTAAATTTAAAAAAAAATGCGCAGTTTCTAAGCAAAAGTTTGGATCATCAGTTGAACAGACAGTCAGACTTATACTCTCTATGGATTCAAGCGTTCTTGGTCGCCCAAATTTCGGTTTTTCTAGTGTTGAGCCAATCACTCTGTATCAATCAAACTGTTCGACCTATTTTTGAAAGAGAGGAGTGCTAAGTGCATCATTTGAGTTACGAACATCACGATGACTACAAAATTTTCTCGGCGCGTCATTATTTCTAGAGAGCCTAAGATCTAAGAAGCCAGGTAATCGATTGGCATAACTCCGCACCCTTCATATTTGTTGCGTTTACGAAGTAAGCTAATCAAATATAAATTATCTTTTGGAACACCTCGTATTGCAATTAGAAATTGTTGCTTTGATTGATAGCTCTACCTTGAGGGTTTATTATTATCCTTATCTTATATTAATACTTGACGTGACTGTGATACTCTAAGATTGGATGAAGGCATGGATATAGTGTAATTAGTGTGGATTTACACTACATACTAAGTTCCGGAAATTAATTAGTTGTGTGTTAATAAAGGTTTGAGTCATATTATATAACGATGAATGCATTCTCTAAATTAAAAAAAAGGCCGTTTATATTTATTTAAAAAAGAAACAGTACATAAGCTAGTAAAATAGATCAGCTCATACGCACGTTACTACGTAAGTAATTTGTGCACGACGCAACAATATTAAACAAACGAAAGAAAATGCTTATTGTAACCGGCGCTAGTTGAACAACCTAGGAGCGGTGGGCGGAGCCATGACGACGGTGTAATTATCAGGCCACGCCTCTGGTTCGACAACTAGCAAGGGTTATACGGCGGGACTAGCGCAACCTTATGTTGAATTTAAATTATAATTTGTGTAAATAATTGTATTACTTGTATCGAACGATAAAAAATAATGATTGTATTATAACTAAGTTTAAGGTTGAGTTGTAACTGTGCAATAACTCTCCCAAATAAAGGCACCGTATGAACAGGGAGAGTTAGCATAGTCTTCTAATGAAAACTGTAATTGTTAAATATAATAAATGTTTACTTTATTATATAATAAATATATTAGGCCGTTAGGCACATAAAATAATAGTAGTAGTGTAACCAAAGAGCATGTTATCGTGACGCGGCCGCGGAGCAAATGAAGCCACGCGCACCGCGCCACGACGTTTTATATTTATAGTGCTGAGGCGGGGGGAAGGATTCTCCGCCTAAAGCAGCTGAAAATTATAATGTAAACCTGTAAATAAGTAAAAATATTGATATGTACACCCTAGTCTAACAAGTAGTTATAAGAATATTATATAGTGAATTATGTTTATTAGTTTGTAAGGTTATTAAATAAATAAAGATAGGCGCGGGGGTGAGGCAAGGGTCCGCTGGCCAGCAGCGGCCAAATCATATAAAAGACGGGCCGGCCGCTAGGGTCAGCACATTCCGCCTGTGGCACCGCTCTCGAGCGGTCGTGTCCAGGTAGTCCGCGCATCCGTCCCCGTACGGTAGTGCTCTCTCGCTCTCGCGCCTCCGCTGTCCTGCTCGCGCTTACAGCGTCGACGCCTTGGTGAGTCATTTTACGCTAACTCCAGTTATTACCTCCCTGTCTCCGGGCGGGGCGGTTTGACTGTTGGTCTTGCTTGTTATTGTTATTTTTATTGTTAATTCTTTTGTTAACTATTTCTAATTTTGTTTTCGTTATTTATTTGTATAACGTGTACGTGTATATACTGTTTCTAGGGAGTTACTTGCTCTTTTCAGAGCAAGGCCCTGCTCTTTTGAGAGCAGGGGCACTTACTCCTAGAATTAAGAACGTCCCGTTCTTCTCAGAACGGTGATCCCGCCCTTACTGTTTAGGTACATAACGTCTCTGTTCTTTTCAGAACAGCACCCACTAGCCCCTTCCGTATCAAATACGTTTCGTAAAACTACTGCCCTCAACATGTCCACAATTACCCAAATTAAGTCCCTCGTTGCCGCCCTAAACCAAACTCTTGGTCTGGGCCTAAACCTCGATGAGACGGCCCTTGCCGCCATCGCCGCCCATGTTACTCCCCCTGCCCGTCAGGCACTCCAACCGCCGCCCGTACTTGCGGCCTACCTAGAGACAAAGAACTCTTTCGCCCCATTAGAAATGGAGTACGCATGCTCCGAGTCCTCTGCATCGGCCTCCCGGAAGAGGCCCGCCACCAATTCTGGCACCGGCTCATCGGAGTCCTGTGACTCCGACGGAACCGGGGATTCTTCGTTCACCACGGTGAACTCCAAGCGCAACGGTAAACGCGCCGCTAAAAACCGCACCCTCCCTGTCTCAGCGGCCCCTGCCGCTCCTTCAACCTCCGCAGCTCCCGCTGCCGCCTCTGCCCCCGCAGCCCCCGCCGCTGCCTCAGCCCCACTTATGTCACTAGACATTCCCGCTCCGACCAAGCCAGCCTCTCGCTGTGCTCCAGTCCTTGCCAAGAAGCAAGTCCCGCCCCCTGTCTTCCTAAGAGACAAGGCTAAATTCACAGAACTCTCCAAAACCTGCTACAACGCAGGCATAAAATATGACCACGCCATCAACCTCGGGGAGGCTATTAAGATCATCCCCCAATCAATCGACGACTTCCGGCGACTCACCAGGCTATTCACAGCCGAACGAGTTTCTTATCATACATACGCTCTTCCGGAAGAGCGCAAAGTCAGGGCCGTCATCCGCGGCGTCCCCTTCGAATTTTCAAACGAAGAAATCCTTGAGGACCTTAAGTCCCAAGGTTTCCCCGTAGAAGCCGTGCACAAAATGCACAGTAGAACAGGCCAGAGGTTCTCTCTTGCCCTAGTAATTTTAACCAACGTGCCGGAGGCGAAAGCCATCTTCCGGCAGGTACGCACAGTGTGCGGCCTGTCGAGAGTGAGGGTTGAGCCTCCACATAGGCGCGGGTTCCCGGCGCAGTGCCACCGCTGCCAGCTGTATGGTCATGCGGCGGCCAACTGCTCCGCCCCACCCAGGTGCGTTAAGTGCCTTGAACCCCACAACACTAAAGAGTGTCCTCGGCCCAAAGACGCCGAATCCCCACCCGCGTGTGTCCTGTGTAAACAAACGGGCCACCCGGCTAACTACAGAGGCTGCCCTTGCGCACCTCATCCTCGCCCCAGTAGGCAAGCTCCACCGCCGGTCAATGACCGCTCATTCCCGGCTCTTTACCAACGGATGCCCCGTCAGGGCCTTTCTCAGCCCACCCAGGGCTTCTCTCGACCCTCTCAGGGTCCTCCTAGGCCCCCTCAGGGCACTATTCGGCCCCCTCCGGGCTTCTCTCAGCCTATGCAGCCCCCAGTTTTTCCCTGGGGCCCCAAAAAGGCAGTACCACCGCGGACATCCTCCGCCCCTCAACCACAACAATCACAGCCCTCAATGGCTGATGACCTAAAAACGGTGTATTCCGCAATTAGGAACATCAACGTTGAGGAAATCGCTGTGTTAGCACGCAAATTGCGCGCTGCGAGGTCCCCTCAGGATCGTCTCCTCGCTCTTGCAGAGCATCATAATCTTTTGTGCTCATTGTAAGTTAAGTTAACTTAATTAACTTAACTCACAATGACAGAGCAGTTTGCTCTACCAAAATCCCACGGTCGTATCAAACCTAAGGGTTTATCGCTTGTATCCTTTAACATTCGCGGTTTGCGAAATAACCTCCCAGAGCTTAAGCTCTTTCTTCAAAATCGTGAAACCGATTTCCTCCTCCTACAGGAAACTAATCTCAATACTAAGGACACTAAAGGCCTTTCCATCAAAAACTTCTCTCTTCTTCGTAATGATAGACCCGACCGCCGAGGCGGCGGTACGGCCATTTATTACAAGAAGACACTTCACTGTTCTCCCATTTCTACTCCGCAACTTTCCAACATGGAAGCCACGGTATGCAGGCTAGCTATGACTGGACATCAGTCCATCTTCATAGCCTCCTGTTACATCCCTTCTAAAACCCTTCCCCTCAAAAAAGATTTTG